TCGCGATGTTGGCATGTTTTTGATGTAATATCCTAAAATAAATAATATTGTTCTACTTTGTATTGAGCACTCTTTTAAATTAAATGTTACGAACGTTGGAATTATATTCTATTAGTTCTCATCTTATCTGAATATATATATATATATATATATATATATATATAATAAATATATATGTTATTATTATTATTATTATTATTGTTAAGAGATTACCTATATCATTTTCTGTAAGAATGCTGAGAGGGAGAAAGAAATTGATGGAAGCACAAAATACATTGACTGGAATTTAAGAAGCAGGTGCACACCAATTTAAAATTGCATCACATGTACAATCATTATTCAATTGTAAATTACAGATACATTCTCAGATAATACTTTACTGCCTCTGAAGAACTTTCAGAAAATGTCCATAAATTTCTCTTTAAGGCCAAATTTAAACTTTGCATCCTTACGCGCAGATCTGAAAATACATACTGTATATTTCCGTGTAAAAGGCGACTTTTATATAAGATGAGGTAAAAAAAATACAGCCAATGTTCAGGAATTCATCCTGTATATGTAGTATAAGACATCTGCTTATTGATTATATAAAAATATTATATGATATTAAATGTTGTTATTGGAGATGTTAATGTATCCTTAGAAATTCAAAATAAATGAAATAAAATAGATTCTTTTACATTTTATCATGTGATCTCTTGCAACTACCATAATAGGATTTTTATTTGAAAACTAAAGGTTGCATGTAATCTTAAATTGCATTATTTAATACCAAAATGATAATGAATTTTTAATGAGAAATGAATATTATGTTATCCTAAATGTTATTACTGCTGTAATTAACACTACCATGATGATTATAAAATGTTTAATGAAAGATAAATATTGCTGTGAACACAATCATAGCTCAATGTTTACATTTTCTCATCTGTGCTTGCATGGATACAATTTGATTTCATTGATATGAAATTATTCTTCAAATAGGCAATTTATTATGAAGTTATACCAGCAGTATATAAGATAGAAATGGTTCTATTACTTTCATTATCAGTTTATTTGATAATGTGAATACAAACAGTTAGAATTTAAGGTTTCTTTTTTTTTAGAAATGTAGTATAAGATGACCCTCAATTTTTAAGGGTGATTTTTGGGATTTAAAGGTCATCTTATATGCAGAAATATATGGTATATATATATAATCGACTCTCGCGTCGAGTTCGACGTATGAGGGTCAGGCGATAAGTTTCAGGAAACCGACATCCCGACATCATACATAAGATTTGATTATAGTGGTGAAGGCCTCGTGCAGGACCAGCCACACTTTTGAAGGGACAAATACAGAAACCTGGTGCACCGAATGCCAAAGGTTCCCAAACGACCCTCCAGGTTTTGAATTCAGAGTTGTCCTTCTCCTAGACCAGTTGCCATCCAAGGCTATAGAACCCAGTCTGTCCTGCTATTTTACCCATAGCTGGAGGGAGATGAAGAGGATTCATACCTTTCCCAAGGGTATTAGCACGTAAGTGAATGTAATGGATTCGACTGGAATTCGAACTCGGCTCTGCGATTCCTCAATCCAAGCCGCTATCCATTACTCCACCGTGCCTCCTATATATATATATATATATATATATATTGTGACATGGACCTCAATGTGGAATGCTGAATAAGACATATGATCAATTTATTAAGGAATTCACTTTGTGTTTCCTCTTCTCTTCTTTCTTTTATTTATTTCCTGTCCAGACATTTGCATTTCAACTACGAAATGTCAGGAAAGAATCTGAGTTGCTTGGTGACTTGACACGATTGACCTCCTTAGGGATTAAGTAAAAATCGGTCACTCAAGCTCACATGATATACACATCACATGAGATTTTTAGTATTGTAATTTCAGTTTCCCAATAATGTCTGACTCCAACAAATTTTAAGAAACTTGTCTTTCATTGTGTGATCATGAGAGATGCCGCTATGAACTTGCTTGTTGTGTAAGGAATAAGAAAAAATCATCTTGTGGATCCTGGATTTGTTCAAATACTTGATGTGTAGTGAATAAAAATGAAGATATTCCCAAACACCATGGATTTATTTGACTACTTGATGTGTAGAGAATAAAAGAATATTATACCCGGAGGAATCATCCCAACTTCATCTTGGATGTCATTTGATTACCAGAAGGGAAATGAAATACAAGCACTATTCCAGAGTTTTATATCTTATATTGTGGAAAGAACAACTACTGACTTTTATATGGCCATTTTATAGTGACTCTCTGTTTAACATTATGGACATTTGAACTTATAAACTCATGAAACATGAATGTTTGAACTAACACTCAGTATCAGAGGCTTTATATTGATTTTACGTCTGTCATCCCCGATAATCTTCTTATATTTTGTTGTTTTTTTGTTATATAAAATTGTTTACAAAGGTTCATCTTGTGTTTGTTATTCATTGTTACCTGTTCATGTGTTTCTACCTGAGTGAACCCAGCTGTTCTTTTTTTTTGAAACTCAGGTTCATATCTCCATGTGCTCCAAATTTGTAACTATATATGATCCAAAATATATCTAAAAAAGATCCAAATTACAGAGAACCAATATTATTTACAAATTCACACCTGTGTTCCTGATCAATCCCTATTTGTAAATAATTATAATTATATTGGATCTTCTAACAAGAAGACTCATATTACATCTCTCTGACCATAGCTCAATTAGGTCTCATTTAAATACACATGGCTACCTACCAATACCTGTCTACAATATACACGTTGATAATATAAATATAATAGCCTAATCCACATGTAAAAAAAGGCTAAAAATAATAGAAGCATTATTAAAAAAAGAAAAATCCAACACAGAATAATATGAACACAGCCACAATGTGCTGACTGTGTTTGGATAGTAAAACATTCTTATTACTCTAGATACATGAATAAAATCATCCATACTTTCAGTTGAAAGTAAAAATAAAATCATCCTTGATAATGGCTAAAAGTATAGGCAAAAGTGTTCAGACATAAGGATGATTTTATTTTTACTTTTCATAATGGGAGGTGCGAGTCATGAAGCTATTGGAGTAGAAGAGACGGTCACATTTAACCATTTTGACAGTGAAAGGGTGGGATTATGATGCCAACCTAGTAGCACGCTTAAATTCATGCAGTCTGGGAACTAGCAAAAGTAGCTTGTTGGAGCAGTTAGCAAGAAAGTATTTTTAGAAAAGACAGAGGGAGGCGATGACACGTCTTTTAGAGAGTGACTGAAGATGAGATGCCAGATCAGGACCAACCACATTGCTTATCCATCTCTGGATTTTGTTGAGGATGTTAAGGTGAACAGCGGGGCCACCAGACCATATCTGGCAGCAGTATTCCATGCAAGGGAAAATGGCTGATTTGTAGATTTGAAGGATGGACTCTTGCGAGAAAAAATTTTTGGTGTGACACAGGGAACCAACTTTCCTTGCGGTGGATGAAGCTATTGATTCAATGTAATTGTTCCATCTCTGGTCAGCAGACAGTGTGAGACTAAGCAGTTGCAAAGAGGTGCTCTTGTGGAGTTAAGCATCAGACATTCTAATGGGTGGCAAGGATGGTTCCCTGCTGTGTGTAATAGGGAGAAATTTTGTTTTAGAGGCATTAAACTTAACCAGCCAATTCCTGCCCCAGTCAACAACTGATTGGCGGTCCTTTTCGAGACTAACAGCCAGGTTAGTTTTGTCAGCGATACCAGACTTTCTATTGAGGCAGGAGTAAATAGTAATGTTGTCAGCATAGATGCCTATTTGGGAACTGATGACATCGGGGAGATTGTTAATGATGATAAAGAACAGAGTAGGGCCTAGGATAGAGCCTTGGGGAACACCTGTGATTGTGGGAAGGAACTGGAGGAGAATCTGTTAAGGATGACCTTCATTACATGGTTTGACAGGAATGATTGTATTGTCAAATAATCAACCTGAAATTCTGTATCCCTTAATCTTATGAAGGAGGCCGGCATGCCAGATTGTATCAAAAAAATTAGAGATATCTAGAGCCATGGCACAAACTTCTCCGTTATTGTGAAGTGGTTGGTAAACAATTTCAGTTATGGCTGTGAGCACATCAGCTGTAGAACGGGCAAAGCAAAAACCATATTGCTTATCAGAGAGCAGATCATGGGATATAAGGTGATTAACCACTTCAGCATTGATTAAAGCCTCAAAGACTGCTGAAGAGTGGTAGGAGACTGATGGGATGGTAGTTAGACGGGACAGAAGGGTCTCCAGAGTTCTTAAAGACAGGTACAATAGATGAGAAGCTGTGGTGAGCCATGATTGCACATACAAATTTTTAAGAGATACAGCAAACAGAACATATATTTACACCTATCTACACCAACATTCCAGTTAACAAATGCTTAAATCTTTTAAGAAAATCATCTAACTTACTGTATATACTCGCAGATAGGTCACACCCTTACTTTATGGCTTAATAATTGATGATTTACTGTTGACTCACAGATAGGTCACATGATAATCTCAGGGTGTAGGGGGTTTACACAGCCCTTTTTAAATGTAAGAATTATCAGATATCTATCTTTATTTCTAAACTTATAATTATTAATACATTTTTGCAGTTAAAATACATTTCGTCAATCATCATGTAAACAAAAGGAAGGAACTGTTGTACTAATATTTTTATATTTACTGCATTTATTTTTATATCGCATCAACTCAACAAAAAACAAGAAATAGCTACAGAAGAAAATGTTATGGCACATTAAAAGTGTTTATCTATTTATATATCAAGTTAGAGTTTTAAAATTAATTCAGAACTGAATCTCAAGAATTCTTCTTCACTATCATCGCTGTCAAACATCATTCTCATTTGATCATCAGTTTATAGGTTTTCATCATTGTCTATAGTAGTTGTTCAATTCATCATCACTTGCGATATAATAATCTTCATCTTTGTTTGAAGCAACGATATCCTCATCCTCGGCCTTTTCTGTGCTTTAAGCAACCACATCCTCATTCTCGGCCTTTTCCATGCTTGAAGCAACCACATCCTCATTCTCGACCTTTTCTGTGCTTGAAGCAACCATATCCTCATTCTCATCTTTTTCCGTGCTTGAAGCAACCATATCCTCATTCTCGGCCTTTTCCATGCTTGAAGCAACCATATCCTCATTCTCATCTTTTTCCGTGCTTGAAGCAACCATATCCTCATTCTTGGCCTTTTCCATGCTTGAAGCAACCACATCCTCATTCTCATCTTTTTCTGTGCTTGAAGCAGCCATATCCTCATTCTCATCTTTTTCTGTGCTTGAAGCAACCATATCCTTATTCTCATCTTTTTCCGTGCTTGAAGCAACCATATCCTCATTCTTGGCCTTTTCCATGCTTGAAGCAACCACATCCTCATTCTCATCTTTTTCTGTGCTTGAAGCAGCCATATCCTCATTCTCATCTTTTTCTGTGCTTGAAGCAACCATATCCTCATTCTCATCTTTTTCTGTGCTTGAAGCAGCCATATCCTCATTCTCGACCTTTTCCATGCTTGAAGCATCCACATCCTCATTCTCGACTTTTTCTGTGCTTTAAGCAACCATATCCTCATTCTCATCTTTTTCCATGCTTTAAGCAACCATATCCTCATTCTTGGCCTTTTCTGTGCTTGAAGCAACCATATACTCATTCTCAGCCTTTTCCATGCTTGAAGCAACTAAATCCTCATATCATCTTCAGTTCCATCCATGGATACCAACGATATCGCTGCACAATGCAAAATAGTTAAAATGTTTTGGGTTTCTAGATTCAAACACTTTGTTATTTCTAAATAACTCTTAAGAACGCCTTTTAATGTTATATGAAACAACCATTAAAGAAAGTTATCTCATAAAGAATCTATTTCAATTCTTTAAGTCATATTTTTCAATGTAATATATGTTTTGCAGAATGAATCATGGGACTATTTTTTCTTTGTCAATAAACATCTACATGTGTTTCCTTAACTTATGCATGCATGTTCAGTGTTTCTATAGTCTAGTGCGAGGGTCCCAACCAAACAGTGACTGATGGATCAATGGATATTTTATAATTTTATTTATTGTGATGGATATGTGGATCTAGCAGCATCAGGTAAGTTTAAAGCAGTTAGTCAGTATATTATGATAGATAAATTGTTTCTATATGGAGAACCACAGCTTTAGTGTTTATGGGTATAATTTCCAATTTCTCAGAAAGCATGATGACAAGGTAAGTTGAGTGAATATGTTGCACCCCTAATATCTTGTGAAATCTTTGGTAAAAAAGTGCAACCTATTTGCGAGTATCCAGGGTGTCTATAAAGTTTGTGTGCACTTTAAAAAATTTATAACTTTATTTGTATTTGCGATAGAAATAATCTGTAAAAAATGTCATAAAGTTTAATGTACCTAGTTTTAAGTATAGGTAAAATAACTAATGTGATTTCAGGCATTACTGTAAATCAGCTGGCAAATGTTTTCTGTGAACTGCAAAATCGTATAACCCTTTGTATTGCTAATGATGGAGAACATGTGGAAACTTAAATAAAATTTCAATAAAACCTTAAAACATATAGATTTACTTCTTTCTAATCCTTTTTAAAAATTATTTCTATCACAAATAAAGTTATAAATTTTTTAAAGTGCACACGAACTTTATGGACACAATGTATATGGTAATAAAAGTAAGACACTCTCTACCAATAGCTAAAATAATAAAAATCTGCAATCTCACCACCAATCTGTGCTATTCCAAATTTAACAACAACTTTATAAATAAAAATTTGGATTACAAATGGGATTGAATCTACGTGGGATTTTGGCATTCTCTTAGATTTTCTTGAATCTGGTCCTATCTGAAATATTTTAGCTATTTCATGCTGCCAATATAGTAATGACACTAAGTTTAGAAGCATAAAAAACAATTTACCAGAGATTGTAGATAAATTAAACTAAATCAAACATACAATAGAATTTAGTCATGAAATAGAATCAAACAATACTTTACCTTTCCTAGATATGATTTCACACCCCAGTAACAACAGCCTAAATCTAAGCATCCATCAACTAATAAAAATGATCTCATAAATTTCTATTCTTACCATAACAACAAAATAAAAATCTGGAATAATCATCAGATTCTATTTAAGAGCACTCAAAATTTGTAGCCTTCAATATTTACATGAAGAGGACAAATACACTGAAAATACTTTCAAGCTCTTCAAATACTCTAATTATTACATATTCAATGTGAAACAAAAGGCTCATATAATATTTCAAAACAGAAAAGCAAACCTTGCTGACAAAGCCAACAAATCAAAATATATTATTCTACCAATCAACTCTATCGCAACTATAAATGAAAAGAATTTGTTTAAACATAAAATTTGTTACAACTACAAAACAAAATAATAAGCTAGAACTTGAAGGAGGAATTTACTCTGTAACCTGTAATAACTGTCACAGAGAATACATAGGAGAAACCTTAAGGAATTTAAATAATAGATTATATGAACATAAAAGGGATCTTTTACAAAACAATCCACTAAATGCATTAGTTTCTCACTGTAATGAGTCTGACCATAATTTTGAGTCAATAAATCTACTTTAATTAAAAATGCATAAAAAATGCATGTATCACAAGATATCCACAGTAACTTTGTGTCCAGGTTCTTACATTTCACCTTTCTTGGCAGATCTTTTATTATCACAATGGAAATATAATATATAATTATATATAATATAATATATAATATAATATATAATTATATATAATATATATTAGCAAAATTGATAAACACAAAGAAAAACAAACTGAATGACGTTGGTTAAATTATATACCCAAAACATACATTAAAAAACATCTAAATTTAAAATTCTTAGTGTCCTCTTTTCTTTATGCATATGTGTAGTCGTGTCAGTGTAAACATCACTTTAGTCCTTTAGTCCAGTCAAGTCCTAAAGAATGAAATGTGTCACACAAAAACTTTGTCATAGGTCTCTATATTTACATCCATCGATCGATATGCCAGGTGTAACAGCAAAACTGTCCAAATTGTGTTACAGCACCCCACAAAATGTTTAATATCTAAAAAAACCATTAAACTAATTGAGTTTCTTTTGTCCAGATTTTCAGATAAGATGTTTAGCCATCTTGACACCATTTGTTTTAAGAACAGCTGAAAAACCTTTTAAGTTATTCAGCTAGAAAGAGAACAGGTTAAAATCATTTTGTGTTAGCCCTGCTGTATTCTCAACCGAGCAATGGTGAGAGGAAAAAGATCATTCAGGCCTTCAGTAATGATACCAACATTCATACTTCAAAGTCCATTCAAGAACCATCAAGAGAATGGTGAATAAGCTTAAAAAGAGGGAACAGTAGAGAGGAAAACTGGATCAAGAGGTCACAACATGAAGAGGGATCATCATTTCAAATTAGCACTAAAGTGATCAAATATAAAAGATCCAACTCAATCCATAAGATATTTGGCATGTGAGAGAGGAGTTCCAGCTATGACAGTTCAAAGTTCAGTAAAAAAAAAAAAAGACATGAAAATGAAATTGTACATGAAACATGTGAGGCACCTTGTTTGTCCAGGACAGAAAGTTAGAAGGTTAGAGAGAGGGAAGATCATCTTGATTAAGCTGGAAAATGATCCTGGAGTAATATATATATATATATATATATATATATATATATATATATTTGAACTTTATTCCAATCCTTCATGAGTTTCTTAGCTGTGATTAATTAATGATTTCATTTTCATTCATGATCAATTTCATCACGATTCCTCTGTTAAGCTTGGAGAGTAATTATACATTCTCATTGCTCAATGTAGAGTCCAATAGTGTTATAAAAACCTTTGAGAATTCCAGTAAGATATTTTAAATCATTTCTAAGATATAACTGTTCAAAAGCTTAATCTAACAACAGGACAATTTTGCTGTTACACATGGTATATATATATATATATATATATATATATATATATATATATATTTTATATATAAGAAGAAACTTTGGGGCAAGTGGGCTAAATAAATGTCAAGGATGAAGTTCTAGTAATATTGTAATATTCATTTACATATAAGAATTTTTTTCATATTTCTTCTGCAATTTCAGGGTGGAGACCATTTCAGCCCCAAGCTTTTATATACCATTAAATTTGTTAAGTATTTTCATTTGGTTATCAAAATAAGTAAATAAATTTTTACTTTCATTCAGACGATTTGGTGTCTAGATAAACTGGAGCCCTGGCTATAGACAAATTTGTGGGGAAAGAACGATTATAAACAAAAATATGAAAGTAACAATAAAAAAATTCTTTAGGCAAAAGTGTCTCTGTTTCTCTAAAGATACTGCTTCCTTTTCACATTGAAAGAAATTGATGTAAATATTGGGAGGAAAATTATATAAAAGGCTTTAAACATGTCACACAATATCAATAATTTTTTTAATGACACATCATTTATATATTTGTTAATCATGGCTCTCCACAGATTCCTTTTCTTTATTATCTTTGAATTGTGATCTTTGGGAATTGTGATGCCTTCTTGGGAAAGATAGTTGATTCCTTTCTTTATTATCTTTGAATTGGTTTTCCATTGCCTTCTCCACACTTTTCAATTCATAGTCTTTCTCTCTTCAGGATATAGGCAATCATGGCTCTCCACAGATTCCTTTTATCTTTGAATTGCCATGCCTTCTTTATTATCTTTGAATTGCCAGGCCTTCTTGAGGATATGGAGTCATTGGTTTTCATTTTCTTTTATTATCTTTGAGGAAAGATAGTGGAGTTCTTTGCTGTTGCTTTCTCAGCAGTTTTTGAATTCAGAGTCATCCTTCTCCTAGACTGACTCCACCCAAGGCTAGAGAGCCATATCTATCCAGCTATTTGATACCAGGAAAGATTATGCTTTATTACACATAAAACAGAGATGACTTGACAATTTACAGACTAATAATTCTTTTAAACTAAGAATGTAAATCTCTTGTACTCAGAAATAAGGACATCTCTGTGCAGACATCTTTACATTCCCTCTCTTTTGTATCTTTTCTATATACTTTGTTCAAGCAATATGTTAAATTTGGTTTATTATGTCACTAGTATCTATCTTGGAGACTTATAAGTCTATCTTTCGTCTGTACATCAAATAGAGCTGCCACATCTAGTCTGGTGCTTCTGTTTTATATCAGGAGATTCTTGATAAAATCCAAAAAATCTGCAACATTATTTATCATGATCTGGTATCTCAGTTTCAGTCACATTCCCACCCACTGCAAGGCACAGCTTCCCTTTGCCTCTTTTACAAATATTTCTATGGTAATTGTTCTAATGAGCTTTCGTCATTGATTCCTGAACTTCATGAATTGAAGTGCAGTACTGAATTGGCAGCTAGGTCTCATAATTTCACTTTTGAAATTGCTAGTTCTGTACTAATAGTTGCTTCCCACACACTTTTCACTTCTGGAAATCTCTTCTGGCTTTCTACTTTCCTGCCAA